ACTGACGGTAGTGGCGTGAGGCCAGCAGTCGGAGAACAGATAGACTGCAGGGTAAATTGTTCGCAGCAAAGCCAGCAAGTGGGCTGCTCTAGCGGACCAAGCCTGTACGAATAGGGAATGCAGGTATGCACGGGGGGGCTTCGGGGAGCAGCCTGCGTTAAAGAGAGGGTGAAGAGGGAATCGTGGAGAGGAAAATGGGTGTCTGGTTATAGTGGCAATCAGCCGGTTCGGCAGCAGGCGACGCAGGCAGACTACGGGGCCGGTGGGTTGTACCTTTTGCATGAGTGTGTGCTACAAGTTGCTGTTGGTTAAAAGTGATCAGTGTAAGTTGGGGTTGGCTGCTGCACCTGGCCGCTGACCGTGGCATACTACAACTGGCTGCTGCAGACAAACGCTACTGGCTATCGACTGAGCACGGGTGCCATTTTTGTTGACTGTGGACGAGCTGCAGCTAAACTGCTGACAAGCTGCTGCACCCGTTGTCTGCTGTTGATTGTTGCGTATTAGTGCATATCACCGCGGCTGGCTGTTGACCATTGCAGCCTACAGTGCAGTGGCGTTTGGACCCATAAGAGGGACTGAGTCGGGAAAGAGAGAGTGGATGCTGCGAATTGAGGGGTCGGTAAACAGATCGACATCGGCAGTTGACCTCGAAGGTTTGACCAAGTTGCTAAAAGTTGGCCGCCATTGCGGGGCCCTCAGGCGCATCAAGGAATCAAGGCCCTCTCCTGTGAGTCTGAGAGCACCCTCCTTGTATCTGAGAGACTGAACCTTTCTATCTCTGCCTTCCTTACTCTAAGTCTAGTCCATTGGTTCTGAGAGGAAGGCGGCAGGCGGGATTGCAACCCGTAATCCKCGCCAAGGCCTCTGTGGGAGGTTCGCCCCACTAATTGCGGGAGCTCTGCCGTAGCCTAGGTGAGGCTCTGGAGGCAGGGAATTGAGAGGTAACCGTTTGCTTTTACTCTATATACCCTGGTATAACCCATATCTATACTTTTTTCTATGTTTGACTGATTGTACTGCATGCATCCTGTACTCTGACTTTGGTTTGACTTTCAGGATCTGAATTCAGATTAAGTAAAGGAATGCGTGTGCCAGGGCGGTTTCAATTTTGTTGATCGTATGAAGGCAGATTGTAAGCAATAGGGGAATTGCATCGGGGGGAAGGGTGGGTGAAAGGTGGTCTTGCCTGAGGCCGACAGGGTCCTATGGGTCAGACCAGTTCCATAAGATTGGACGGCCTGACCGCTGTGTTTATTTTTGAGTTTGCATGGAAAGTCGGACCAATTTCATAAGATTGGACGGTCTGATTGCTCTGAATTGTGAGGGTTTCACTGTGGCTGATTTTTCAGGGGCTGAACCTGTACCATAAGATTGGAGGGTTTGGTTGTCGTGTTTGATTGGGGTTTGTCCTGTTTCTTTTGTTTCTGATCGAGGAGGTCTGAGCAAGTCCATAAGATTGGACGGCTCAGCCCCCCTCTTGTTTTATTTAGAGGGGGTAATTCTTGCTGAGGGCAGGGCATGTCCATAAGATTGGACGGCCTTGGACTCATGCCGCACACAGTGGATCAGAGAGAAACGAACCTGGCAGAGGACCAGGCCAGTTCCATAAGATTGGACGGTCTGGCCCAATGCCTCGCACATGCTGGAACCCAAAAGGTGAAATTTTGGCTATAGTTTATACTATGCTATCTATGAACAAACTAGTCATGCATGGGTTCCATAAGATTGGACGGTCTGGCTATAACTTATCATGAAATGAAGAGAGTATAACTAAGAGTATAATTGAAGGCAACCCTGGGCAGGTTGGGCCTTGTTCTAAGATGAACGGCTCAGTCCTATGCCCAACTTTTGAACACCAAGCTCAGAGAGGTATATATAATTTGGAGATTAAACAGTCCAGGGCGACTGAGCCTTGTTCTAAGATGAACGGCTTAGTCATATGCCCAAAAGGAAGAGAGAAGTAGTTGTGCAACCTGTTCGTGTATGCTCAATGACTGGGTCAGGCAGGTTTCATAAGATTGGACGACCTGACTTTATATCCTATGTAAGCTGGGTATAAAGGAATAAAGCATCGAGAGAGTACGAACTATTGTTTGCAAAGTTTGACTCGGGATGGCGAAAGTACTTACCCTTGTAGTTTGGCCTGCATGAAACTGAGTGAGGCTACTACTTGGTTTAAGTGTCAGGTTGATAGGTAGTTGCTTTAGAGGCTCGCCTCGTGCTAGAGCGATAGGAGTTAGGTCAATTCCTGCATTTTCTGAGTTGATTTTTTTTTACTTAGATCGATTCTTGCATTTTCAAGGATCCTTTGCTATACTTGGCTTTGTATAAATTCTGGCAAGCTACTTTCTCTACAGGAAGCGCTGCCGAAATTTCTGCAAATCCAAGAAGTTAGTAAAATTTTCGCTTTTCAAAGTTTAGCTTGTCTAAAGTTCATATTCGACTTAGTAAAAATATGAAAAGTCCCCTTTTCTAAAGGGAGTGTTGCCCAAACTTTTGCTAAATCGGGAAGTTAAACAAAATTGAAGTTTTGAAAGTCAAAGACTATCTCTGGTTTCATATTCAGGCTGATATAAATTCTGAAAAGACACTTTTCCTACGAGAAGCGCTGCCGAAATTTTCTTGATTTAGAGGAGTCAGATTATATTTTGACAGGTGGCGATTCTGGCGATCCACCCTGAATAGGGGAGATCCTGCCATTAGTCTGCATTTGCTTGGGCACTGGCTTAAGGGTACACTTTGATTTAGTTGGTAGGTAACTTGGGTGAAAATATGCTATAGAGGGTCGTCCCCCACATACTGATGATTTAGCTTGGGCATTGACCTGTCTTATGGTACAGGCCTTTCTTGGACATTCGATTCAGGACTTGGGCTAGTTCAGCTTCATCCTGCAAGGATCATCATCTGTTATCACTGATAATAGGCCGGTTGCCGATTCGTCGGCTCACGACTCAATTCCTACTCGCTCCCCATACTCAACCTAAAAGGCTTTAGCCCTGGTAATCTTTTTGTTTGTTAAGGGTTTTACGCGGACTTTTATTGAATGACCATTTAACAAAGGTACTGAGTATTTGATTAGGGTGGTTGGCTGGAGGTTGGGGTTTGCATGGCTCAAGCGAGGGGTATGAGTATAGGAACTGGTTGGAGTTGACTCCGCGTAGTGGGTGGACTCTTGTCTGACTTTTGATGTGATTGCAGGTATGTTCAAAGACTTGGGGTTTTGGTTGGGCTGCCCTGCGGTCGCATATATATGTATGGCTAGGAGGAGACTCACTATGACTGTGAAAAATGATCGTCACATAATTATCCCCCTTGTGCATATATATATATATATATATATATATATATATATATATATATATATATATATATATATATATATATATATATATATATATATATGTGCCAGTGCATGTGTACCTACGTGTGGAGCTCTCGTGGCTTGAAGTGCCCGTGTACTAAGGGTCAGTCGAAGGTTGGGGTGAATAGAACGGGGGGGAGGGGATATCCCTCGTCAATTTTTTATTTCTTTTCCTTGTTGCGATTTATCTTGGTGGAACGATAAAGTTCCGGGCGGAAGGGTCAGCGTGTTGCTGGTGATGCGCCAGACAACTCACCACCGCTCCAAACTCCCTCCTGCCCTAGGGGCCGTCTTGCCCCGCACCCGTTGGGACACCTCAGGGTGCAGAAGACGCAAAGACCCTCAAGCCGGTTTTGCGCGCGCTAAAGGGTTACCCCCATTGGCTCGCGCTTCAGCCAATGCCTGAGCGTCGAAAGGGGACCCCTTGGCTCAGAGTAGGCCATTTGGGTGTGGGCACTACACAATGCGCCGTCATCGCGGTTACTCACGTAGAACTGCATAGCGAGATAGTATGAGTAATTCCAGTGCCCTCACGATCTTATACTAAGTTCGCGTGCGGCACTCGTCGCATCCTGCACTAAAAGAGTTATGGGTCAGGCGGCGAGATCACGAGCGTGACACGACCAGGAAACTTGGGGTCTTGGTAACGTGAAGCGGCACGTGGGCGGAGGACTAGCTCCGGTCAGCCTTTGGGGGTCCGTGTACGGGCCTCATTATCCCGGACGCCAGGTAGCCAATGGATAGGATACCGGACCTCCTCCGCGCGCGCGTCGTTTGGGCTTATCCACCCCCTTTCCATTTTAGAGGGCCATCAACTAATGGGGGTTGGAGTGAGTCTCCGTTTTGCGTTTTCATGGTTGAACTTTATAGTCCGTGGCGGCCGTTWAAGTCAAACCCCTTGATGTTCGACCGCCACGACAGTTTAAAGCTGTCTACTCAACCCCTCTACACAAGGTGAAGAAGAGGGTGTGGTCTCCAACCGCGCACGACGGTTGTCCAGCGTCAAGAGATTAACCCTCAAGGCGTGTGTCAGCTGACACTTGAGTGTCGAATGCGACCCTCGAAATTAACGAGGGCCGCACGATTATGGGCACGACATAGTACGCTATCGTTGCGACTGCTTGCGTACGTCTGCATTGCGAGTCGATATAAGTTAGCCCTGCGTCCGTGCGGTTTTATACTAAGTCTCGCGCGCGACGCCTATCCGATTTCCGCATTGGAAAGTTATGGGTTGGCTACCGAGGGACAAGGAGCGTTGTCGCGTTGTTCGTGTTGTGTCGTTTGTGCAATGTGTGTGTGCGCGTATATTTTGTTTTTTTTTTCGTAGAGTGGTGTGCGCGTGGTGTGTGGGATGCGTCCTAGTCGACCGACATCGAGCCACGTTTGGGACTTCAGCCCCCCAAGATGTCGGCCCACGTGCGGGTCCGATAGGCGTATTACCGCTCGTACCCCCTATGCTACAGCGAACGAGAAACGCCCTCGGCTAGTCCACCTCTGCGATTGCAACCGAGTAGCTTTCGTACTGTGGACTGGTAGCTCGGCGGTGATACGCCCACTGAAGGAAGGTGACAACTCCCGTAAGGTAGAGGTAAGTTGTGCCTCGCGTAGGCCCTATCCTGTCGTAGGGGCTCGCGAGAGGTATGGCTGGCGCACTCGGCCAGAGCGGCCTAAGGAAGCTCCATTTGTGTGCTCGTTACGAGGTGGGTCCAACTCCTGCATGACGCGACCGAGAGGGTCCCGCGCTACCACGTGCGGGGCCGGACCGATGCGCTCGACAGGTGGCGCCGTTGCCGGGGATAACGGAAGCCTACCGTTGTCCCTGGTGGAACGACATCCGGGTAATATGAGAATGAGAGAGAACTAGGCACATGAGCAAATAGGAGAAGAAATATGAGATGGGTCGTATAGTAGTCTATATGGCTGTGTGGGTATGAATGTTGATCTGATTGGTGGTTTGGTTGATGGCATGAACGAGACAAGTGTGTGAGTGAATTCTGTGATGACAATGGGTCTTACTTAGGTGAACCCAAGGGAGGTAGGAAGTAGAGAGAGAAATGTCTGCCAGGTCCAGAGCGTCGGGTGCTTAGGTGGTCGGTCCGGTAGGATCATGAAGGAATGGATTGCTGAGTGGAACCTTTTGTCCTATTGCTTCTTATAACAGGGGGATTGAAGCCGAAGGCTGTTAATCAAAATGCCTGAGGAGATGGCGGATGGTGGGAGGAAGCTTGTAACACTCGACGACCTCATCGATGCCCTGGATAAGCGCGAGAGGGCGCCGAGCAATGTCCCGAAGGTTGATACTTTCCACTTCAAGGGAGAACGGGTGTCCGACTGGCTGGACCTGACGGAGCAAGCACTGGTGGGGCTGTCGGACGAGGTCAAGCTCCAGCGAGTCCTAAGATATGTCGTTCATAACCACCATCAGGAAGTGGGCAAGGTCATGGATGCCGCCAATGGTAGTTGGGCGAAGTTCAAGGACATGATGCAGAGAAAGTACAGGTTGGGGGATCGCTTGCTAACCATGGCGGATTTGGAGGCCATGAACAAGGATGACTTTTCCACGATTGGGGCGTTTGTGTACGAGTTTAAAAGGAAGGCGCGGAAGGTGCACGGGATCTCCGAAGAAACGCAGTGTGTCATATTTTTGGGTCTACTTACTGGCTCGGAGGCCTCGGAGTTGACGGTCACGAAGGGGGAAATGAAAAACTCACCTGGGCCACTACCGACAAAGGGGTGGAAGAGGGGAGCCTGGACCAGGTGGAGCAGCACCAGGTGCGGCTGCAAAGGCGCAAGAGAAAGGAAAGGGATGCCACCGTGTCTGGGACCCCAGGGGTGAAGAGGATCGTCACGGACGTATTGGCAGCGCTGGGGTATGTTAATGAGGCGGAAGTGCAAAAGAGGGGAGTGACCGTGGCCCAAGGCCGGGCATCGGGGGCAATGGAAGAGGAGGCTAGGCGCGAGGACTATGGCGGAGAAGAGACGGGCTCCCAGATCCTAACCACGACCCAGAGGAAGCAGCGAAATTTACAAGTGGGGGGTCGAGGATCCGGAAAAGGGCAGGTCCCGCAAGCGATTGCTGCACCGCCACCGGCTGCCACGACAACGTCGGCGACGGTCGGGCCGTCATGTATGGGGCCGCCGCCGGCTTGTGGGCACTGGGTGCTGCATTGTCAGGTTGCATCCTGGCCCAGTTGCAATCACTGCACCTCGTGCGGGGGTAGTCAAACTCAGCCCGGGCAAATGATCCCTTATGCGAGCCCAACGGCAAGTATGGGGCCCCCGAGCTACCCTGCGGCTCACGGTCAGTTTGTGGCCCAACCACCTCCCTCCTAGCAGGCCTCGCAGGCTAGCGTGGCCGGGGGAGGAAACCAAGGACAAGGCGGACAAGGCAATGGAGGCCGAAGTCAAGGGGGTCGAGGAGGTGGTGGCCGGGGCCGAGGAGGAAATGGTGAGGGTCGCGGAGGTGGTTGGAATGGTCAAAGGGGCCAGGACCAAGGTGGCCGAGGCGACCAGGGAGGGGGACAAGGGTATGGGAGGCCCCACTTTGATTGGCGAAACGCCACCTGCTGGCATTGTGGCAATGTAGGCCACACGGTGCGGTTCTGCGAGCGGCGGCAGGAGGATGAATTGTCGGGGTTAATCTCCTCTTGTATGGACGGGACATATATGATAAGTGGGGTGAGCATATTGACCCCAGGACCCAGGAGGAATCAGGCAAGAGGCTCTCCGGCGAGCAGCAGCGGGGCCCACAGCACCCCCGACGATGTTTAGGATGTGGCAAGAGAAGGAAGAGCCGACCGTAAGGGTCGAGGAGATTGTGGGGGATAACGAGGAGGTCAACCAGCGGCTAAAGGCAGGGACTATAAGGGAGGAGCCTATAGTCGTCGAATCGGATGATGAGGGGAAGGAAGGCGAAGGAGAGTCGGCCATACTCCTCCTGGGGAGGATGGAAGATCTGCTGGAGAAAGTGGGGAGATACCAGCGGAAACTGCAAGCCCTGTGTGAAGAAGCCCGAGAGTGGGAGGCCAACCTGCCTGAGGTCTTCCTTTATGACTCCGGGCCAGAGCCTTCGCCAGGACAACAAGGGTGCCCAAGAGTGGCGACTGTAGGGACGGTTCCTAGGTCAGGTATGGCCTACAGACCCCCCACGTCGCATGGGAGGGTACCGCAGGTGGCTCGGACTAGGAGCCAAAACAAGGCCGGGCCTAGCCAAGAGCCCAGTCAGGCACCCCCTCGAAAGGAGCCTGAGCCAGAACGTAGGAAAGAGGTGGTGGAGGTCCCGGAGGAAGAGGAAGAGGATGATGATCAAGAGGATGAGAGGCTCCGACAAGAGGATCAGCGGGCGGAGCTGAGGGCCAAAAAGAGAGGATCCCAGGAGGAGGTTGAGCCAAGCCTGCCCGACAGCGTGCCTAAGAGGAAGAAGTACGCGGTCCGGATGGAGGAAGGCTTTGATGTGGAGCGGATGGTGGACAAACTCCTGGAAGGCCATAATGACGCGAAGGCTGGTGCCAAATGTCCATCTGAGTACGGTCCTGCCTAGAGAGGTGGAGTGGACTGAGGCAGGGACAAGGATGGATTGAAAATGTGTGGCGTGCGGGCAGGTGGATTTGGTGATAAGGAACCAGAAGTGTACTGGGATGGTGGACACGGGCGCAAAGATGAACATCATCAGGGAGAAGGAGGCAGTGATGATAGGCATGGAGATCGACCACTCGGACCATGGCATGCTGCACAGCGCTAACTGCAAGGCCGCCTTTTGCGGCACAACGTCAAATCTGATTATAGAGATTGGGAAGGTGCGAGCCAGGACTTTCTTTTTTGTTATGCCTGATGTCGATCACCCCATCCTTCTGGGGCGGTCGTTCCTGTGCCGGACGGAAATGTTGATCTTCAACAAGCACGACGAAATAATGATCCTGCTCCTGTGCGACCCGGCGTGTGGGAATTATGAAGTTATCACCTGCCGGAACACGGGGCCGGGGAGCGGGAGGAATAGGCCCAATCTAGGCTCGTTCACCTTTGAGGAGTCAGAGAACGAGCGGAGACGGCTTTGGGAAGTGCCCGAGGAGGAAGATAGGGCTAAGGTGCTGACATTGAGCCTCACGGATGTGAATAAGGCCATGGAGGTGGTATCGGCTCACGACATGGCGGATCCGGAGGCCATTAAGGCATTGAGGGAACAGGTTTTGGAGAACCCTCAGGTGGGGAAGGTGGAGTTGGTGTATCGGCTTCTGGGAGGGAGGGGAGGCCCTGCGATGGCCCAGGCCCGAGCGACAAGTCGGCCTTTTTGAGGGGAGGGCTTAAGCAAGGTTCCCAAAGGCAGTACAAGACCATAGATAAGAAGTGCCGCCCAGTTCCCGTGCTCGTCATAGAGGATGAGGAAGCCTACTACGAGCGGGAGCGAGGGTTGATACGGCGTATGAGGGAGCACGCGTTGACCGGGCTGTGCCATATCAACGACGAAAATGAGGGGAAGCTGATAATCGGGGAGCCCGACTTTCTGTCGCCCCAGGAGAGAGCGTTGATGGTGGGGCTGATGAAGAAAAGGCACCGCGCGTATGCATTCAACGACGACGAGCGTGGGAGGCTGGATGTGGACAAGATCCCGATGGTTAGGATCCACACGTTCCCACATGAGCCATGGAATCTAATGGGCACGCGGTACCCCAATCCAGACGAAGAAAAGATGGTGTTGGACTACCTGGACGGCAAGATGCGGACGCACGTGGCCGATTATTCCAGTGCGCCGTACGCATCGGCTTGGTTTTGTTTTATTAAACCAAATGAGACGCTAAGGTGGGTGCAGAACTTGCAACGACTAAATGCAGTGACAGCGCGGGACGCGGGAGGATTGCCGAACGCGGACGCATTGTCAGAATCGTGCGTAGGGAGGCCTATAATCTCGCTTATAGACCTCTACTAGGGGTATGACCAATTCCCCGTATACCCGCCAGACAGGCCCGTAACGGCAATGCACACTCCCAGAGGGCTGATTCATATGAATGTGGCGCCTCAAGGTTGGACGAATGCAGTGGCGATGGTGCAAAGGCATATGATCAGAGTCATGCAGACGGTCAACCCACATATCACTCAGCCCTATATCGATGACCTGGCGGTCAAAGGTCCGAAGGAGGAGGAAGACGAAGTGATGCCCGGTGTGCGACGCTTTGTCTGGAAACATGTCCAAGACATGGATCAGGTTCTGGGGTTATTGGAGGAACATAACCTGACGGCGAGCGGCCCTAAGTCGAAACATTGTATGAGGGAGGCTACAATTCTAGGCTTTGTCTGTAATGAGAGTGGGCGAAGGCCTGATGTAAAGAAGACAGACAAGATTCTTAAGTGGTCGGTGCCCTTCCGCTCGATAACAGATGTGACGAGCTTCCTTGGGACGTGCGGATTTCGGAGGAGCTTCGTGAAGGACTTTGCCACGAAGACGGAGCATTTAAGGAATTTGGTGCTCCAGGATCAAGAATGGGTCTAGGGCGAAGACCAGGAAGAGGCGGTCGGTAGGATGAAGGGAGAGTTTCAGGAATGAGGCTTGGTATTGGGAGCGCCAAACTATGAGGCCACGAAGGAAAGACCATTCGTCATTGAGACGGACGCTGGGCCAATTGCCCTGGGAGGGGTCCTGATTCAGGCAGCTACTGAGGGGAAGGAGAGGCCGCTAAGATTCGAAAGTCGTACCCTCAATACAACTGAGAGGAACTACTCCCAGTTCAAGAAGGAGATGCTGGCGGTACTTCATTGCCTAAGGACCTTCCAGAACTATGTTTTTGGCAAGAGGCTCATCTTGAGGGTGGACCCTACTGCACTGGCATGTTCCCTAAAGAATTATACTCCATCTGACCCAACCGTCGCAAGATGGTTGACATACATTTGAATGTTTAACTTCGAGCTGGAAAGGATCTCAGGGAACAAGAACAGGGCAGATGCGTTAAGCCGCATCAACTGGGACGGATCGGACGAGAAATCGATAGAAGACACGCCGCCAGTTGATGGTTTTTTGGACCAAGAGGAAGACGTCCGCCTGCACATAAACGAATGGTCCCTGCGAAAGCCCAGTTGCGTCAGTCACCCCATATGGCTGGCACCAAAGGGGTACGAGCAGAGGGAAGAGTTAGTCCTCAAGCCCTTTCAGGAGGAGGATCCGTGGGGAAGTAAGGATGTTGGTTGGATGATGAAGTTGGCATTGGCAGGTACGCACAGTCTGGTGGAGGAAGTGAGGACAATAGAGGAAGACCCCACTCAGGTAGAGGAGCATGAGCAGCTAATGGGAGGGATATACCTGCTCACCAATACGCTCCTACAAGGAGACTTCGACCGGAAGGGCTCATTCAGTCGTGAGGAAGGTGAAATCCTAGTTCCTGAAAGCCAGGACGACGAATTCGAGGAGGGAGAGATTAAGGAGGCGTTTCCGGCAGAGGAGTATGATGGGATCTACAGGGAGTTGGGGCTGCTTCTATCATGCGAGATAAGGGATAGAGATGCGAGTGCCAAAGCACAGAAGATGAGGCACCTCTATGTGGTAAGAGATAATCATCTGTTTATAAAGTGGCAGGTCGGGAACCCCACGAGGATCGTATGTGGGAGACACCGGCAAATTGATATCATAGCGGCCCTACACGATGGTATAGCAGGGGGGCACAGAGGAGTAGGCGCCACATGCTCGAAGATAAGTGAGCTCTACCATTGGGACGGAATGCTGACGATGGTCATCAAATACTATCGGTTCTGTATACCTTGCCAAGAGAGGTCAGTGCAAAGGCCTGTAGAACCCCTACACCCAACGTTAGAAAGGGAAATGGGTGCGGTCGTACACCTGGACCTGTTATTCATGCCAGCAGGGGAGAATGGGTGTAACTACATCTTCGATGCACGGGATAACCTTACTGGGTTTGTGGACGGACGAGCTATCCGGACGAAGACTGACCCGGTTTTGGCGAACTGCATCGAGGAGTATTACCTGCGATACCCTTTTGTCAGGGATTTCGTGATGGATCGAGGATCAGAGTTTACCTGCAATGAGGTGAGGACGTTGCTTGCAGGGTATGGCGTAGTGGCCAACTATACTACGGACGCACACCCTTAAGCGAACGCTCCTGTGGAGAGGGGGCACAGTACCATCACGAATCTCGTGGCTAAGTGGACAAAGGGCAAACCCGGTCAGTGGCCGAAGTTCCTACGGGCAGCTTTCTTCGTGGAGAATGTTACTGTAAAGAGGACTACCAAGTATGCGCCAGCCACGCTATGGTACGGAAGGCATGCCACCTTTCCCATAGAAAGCTTTATGAAGACGTGGAGGCTCCAGGACTTGGAGGTGAACCTGTCTTTCGAAGAACTGCTCGATATTCGGGCGCGGCAAGTGGGGGGCGGCCGAAGAAAGATTGCAAGAGGCCGTTGGTCAGGTGGAAAGGAGTCGCATAGAAGATAAGATGAGGTGGGACCTGATGGCACGAGTAAGAAAGGAGTCATTGGCTGTAGGAGATGTCGTATTATTATACGACTCCTCTTTGGAAAAGCAATGGTCGAGGAAGCTTGAGTAGAGATGGTTGGGCCCCTATAGAATATTGCGATGCGGCGAATTTGGGGCCTATCAGATCGAGGAGTTGGACGGGATAGACTGGTAGGATTGGGTATCAGGGACCAGGCTGAAGAAGTTCGTGGTCAGGGAATAGGTAAAGAATTCTACCTTTCTTAGAGTAGACTGGTCCTTGAGATATCGCATGTTATGGTTAGGACAGGTGAGGGAGTAGAAAAAGGCATGTGTATTGTCATAAAAACTTGATGAGCCGAGGGCTAACCTTGTTGTATGCCTGCTTGCTTTCTCTCGCCTGTTGTGCAGGTCTGACTTTTCGAAGACAACCATGCAGAGGGGTGGGAGGGGCGCGCGGCCACGACAGAGGCCTCAGGGAGCATCAGGAGGGGATGACTCGTGCAGACCGGTTGGGAGAGAGTCTACGCCTATCTTCGACGACAGTAACATAAAGCTTTTTCTGGACTCCTACCAGGCACATGCGACACGGGAGGGCTGGTCTATCTTGGAAAGGATACGGCACCTGAGGGGAGTTGGGCGCTTCGAGGAGCCTATTGCGCACATTCGAGAGGAGGCGTTGACATGGCAGGATGTGGAGGCGAGGATGCAGATGCCGAGGGCTTCGCCGATGGGACCGGATGGATTGCCTATTCGATTGGAGGAAGGCAATGCGGAGGAGTTCATCCCGGCCTATGAGCAGTATATGCGCGACCAGGGGACTGGGCATGAGGAGTGGATGCAGATGCTGCCCCTTTGGACACGGAGGGCGAGAGGTCGTTGGCGAGGCAGATCCGGGACAGGGCACACGACTGGGAAGACTGCCAGGCCCAGTTGAGACACGCATTTCGACGACTGGAGCCCGAGAGACCAGAGACCAGGGTGGAGAGACGACAAAGGAGTAAGAGGCCACGGGGCCCAGAGGCGAGAGGGACCACTATGACCAGAGGGGGCCGAAAGGCCTTGGCACAGCAAGAGGGGCCAGCAGAGGCCGCCCCGGCGGTGGAGCCAGTTCAAGCCGAGGGGCCAGCTCAGGCGGCGGAGCTACCCCCTACCTATGGACTCGAGCAGGTGGAGTTTCGTCGAATCACGGGCAGTGATCTACTGGGCCTGTCGCCGATGTTACCATAAGGGGGAGAGGCGGTGCCGTTGAGGACGCCGCTCGACAGGTTGGAGGCTCATCTCGATGCGTCCCAATGGGGGGCGTCACAGCTGGGAGCGGACAAGAGCAGACCGGCACGGTGTCAGGCGGCCGCAAGCAGTGCGCCGCCTGAGATCTGCAGTTTTGGGACTTAGGCTCAGGGACGAGGCCGTGTTTTGATGGTGCTCTCGTATGACCAGGCAGCAAAAATTAGGGGAACTCAGGGCACCCCTGATTCTAGGCGCACTGAGCCTTACGAGTAATCCTCAAAGATGGCGAGATAAGTGGCCACACTCGGCGCATCTAGGGACTGTCATTCCCGGTTGTTTAGAGAGCTATACTCGGATTGGCCTGCTGCGGAGAGGCATCGCAGGAACTGACTTCACCGCAACATTTTTACGGCATACGACCGGGGCCAAAATGAGGCCTCAGATTTTTGTCTTTTTTACCTAAACTAAAGATGGGAGAAAAGATTGGGAACAGTAGGAGGGAAGAGAAAAACGTAATATACCTTAGTTCCCTTTTTTTTTTTGCGGCATTTAAATTTTGAGGAAAATACCTCGTTATTTTATGTTTCCGGCAATGAAATAGAAAACCAGAGAAAAAGATTTAAAATGGTAGGGGAGAGAAGAAAAGAGAGAATTTCAACCATTTGATTAAACTCCCTCATAATTTATTTTTGATGAACCTACGGCTAATTCACTATTGCAGACATTAGAATTAAGGAAAAGGGAGAACGATTAAAAATGATGGAACAAACAGGAGCTAATGATTATTCGATGCCTGGTCTGGTTTTGCTTGGGATACCCACCGTCAGCTCAGAACCCTGATTTGATCAAATTCCCTGAGCTCTAACTTTCTTTTTGCTATCTCCCGATGATCGAAACTCTCTATGACGCGTCCCCTATTTATCTGATTACTAACCTTACTGAGCCCGCCGGTACGGACGATGACGACATGGATATGGACAGCGTGGGATCGTGTTACATTGGACCGGCAGCATGATGTCAGGTTCAGTGCCGGACATGTTTGAGGTTCGGCCTGAGCCGGTATCAGCGTACTTCAGGTTCGGGCACCAGGGTGATTTATTTCCAGGGTCGACATCATCACGGCTATWTATTTCAGGATCAGCATCATCATGGCAATTTGTTTCAGGGCCGGAACCGCCACGGTGGCTTACTTTCAGGTCTCGAGCCACTATGACGATGTATTTCAGGTTCGGAACCTGAACGGCAGGTTATTCCAGGTTCGGCGCTATCACGGGTATTAAGCTCAGGCTCAGCACACCATCACTGCGGCCATTTATTCTAGGTTTGGTGCCACTATGGCAGTTTATTTCAGCTTTGGGACCACTACGCCAGTCTATTTCAGGTTAGGGATAACTACGCTGATGTATTCACCACCGCGACCTATTTTTGGGTTCTTGAGACCTCATACGATTATCAACTAGGCGGCTCAGCCTTCAGGGCTGAAAAGGAAAATTGAGATTCCGAATTACCGATCTGGGAATGGACATCAAGCGGGGCAGTTGGGGGTGCCTGGTGCTGCGATTGACCGGGGGCCAGCCCCGAGCGGTTTGGGAACAGCGAAGGACTGTGGCCTTCTCTGAGCGCCCTGGGTGAAAACAAGGCCGAGAGCTGAACGGAAGGAGATATAAAGAGGAACCAGTCATTCTACAGGGGGGATGTGCACGGTGTGCCCGGCGTGATAGGCAGGCGGGGACAGTTGACAGACGGAGGATTGGGGAAGCATGCGAGGTGTACGCAGTGCACCGCAGAGTCGCAGACAGTCACGGAGTGCGAGACGAGCTCGAGGCGAAGACATCGGCGCCCACGCGGTTACGCAGGAAGACGAAGGGAGAAGTGTTATTGAGAGTGCGCGTGTGAGAGAGGGATTTGGTTGATGACACGGCAGCGCACCAGCGCACTGAAGACTGGTATATGGGTATCGCTTTGTCATATGGTGAGAAGAAGCGGCGAGATACTTCGTACGAACGTTGAACTTTGATCTGCCCGCTAAAGCAGTGCACAAACAAGGGCAAAAATCTGGTCGTTTCAGCAGCTCATATACGAGGGGGAAAACGGGGCTGATCTGGTCGCTGCCCCTTGCCAAGTACATTTCGAACGTTGAACTTTGATCTGCCCGCTAAAGCAGTGCAGATACATGGACGATCATCTGGTCGTTTCAGCAGCTCCTATACGTGGG